TATATATATATTTGGGGCTGGTCAGTTTTCGCTGCAGAAAAAAAGAAAGTGTGCATAGAAATCTAATAGTTTGTTTCAAACCAATTTTCCGTAGAGAATCCATTCTTCTTCTGGACGACACACACACACACATCAAGGAGAAGGTTTTTTTGGGGGGGAGGGATAATTTTCATTGAAATGTTGTTTTATTTTGCACAAATCAAAATGTGGAGACCCTCAATTTCCAATTTCACAAAATCAGCACCGCATGTAGCCACCTGCCGCACTAATTATTAACTGACACCATAGGCGCATGGAAAAGATACGTTCTTGGATAAAATGCTGGGGGAATCTGTTGCTAGATTATTTCTAGCTATGCTCAAGTTCATCTAACATTTAGGACTGGTCAGTTCTTGCTGAGATTAATCTTTATCCGGGGAAATTACGTGCCGCCTTCATGTAGGTCGCAATTTGTTCTGGAGATGAACGTGTTGGATGTGTTGGTCTTGTCTCTGCGTTGTGATCCGAGGACTACGACTTCTAGGTCGATCATTCGTCGTTCCGGACACCCACACAGATGCCTACAAACGTTCAATGCTTTTTCTATGGACATTGGGCCTTTGAGCGTCATCTCGCTGTGTACTACCTGCCTGGAACATTCCTAACGCTCGCCTTCTATCAGATTCATTTTCCGACAGACGTTCTACGCTTTAAAAGTAGAAATATCCCTGTGTTTTATGTTTTTCGACACAAATACACGTATAGGAAGTAAATTTTAAACTCAAATTCTGAACAATATAAGGCAGTTGAATTGAATTAACACAATAGATGTATCACCCTTGACAAACACAATATCTTTGCTGACACTCTGGCAACTTATGGAAAACAACTTACGTCAGCTTCAGGGACAAATTTGGTGACTGCTTAACATTACTTAATTAAGTTTTGGCTGTCTTAAGTATGTACACTTTCTTTTTTTCCTTGAGTATATAAATATAATATTATAATGGCATCAACACCACATTTTCGGTATCTCTATGATCCACCCCTCTCTCTCTCTCTCTCTCTCTCTCTCTCTCTCTCTCTCTCTCTCTCTCTCTCTCTCTCTCTCTCTCTCTCTCGCTCTCTCTTTCTCAGTCTGCCTTTAAGGTATGAACACAACGAATTTGTTCTCACTGCCAGCCATTACTTTTCATTACGAATTAATTTCAGTTTGGTAAGAAACTAGGTTCTATTTGGGTTGTTCTTCTATCTTTTCCCGAAGCAGTTGGTAGTGGATGGTTGCTTTCTCCAAAGCCATACCTTCAGATCCAATATGGTGCTGATTTCAACCTTGTTGTAAACATGATGTTATTGGTTTTCAAAAGAAATGTGACAGTTAAGAAGACTAACAACATGGCAACAATCGATAAGAGCCACGTAAAGACTTAGCCGAGAAGAAGGCTGGTTACTGTGGAGAAATTGATTACCAACGTTGTAAGCCTACAAAGGACAGACGTTCCATAGCATCCAAAACAAAAAGTTTAGTGTAACTGTCGAAAGTAAAAATCAAATACTTTTAACATACTTTCGCGTATAGAATCCTACAGAACTCATGAAAAGATAGATAGATAGATAGATAGACAGATAGATAGATAGATAGATAGATAGATAGATAGATAGATAGATAGATAGATAGATATGGGTAAGTGTATGTAATATATTGCTCACAAAAAACGTTTACAAGCACGCAAAAATTCAACGAGAGAAAGTAATATGATCCTGACAAATTTGTGTTGCCATTTTTGTGCTTCTTTTCCTGTGATCTAATCAAGTACTGTTTCAAAACCTTCTCTGCTTCAGCGGGACAAATTCATTAAACAACCTGAGAACGTTCCTTAAACTTTGAATCATGGTCTCTACTTTCCAACTTTCCACGGAGAGTAATAATTGGCAGCTATAAAGCCAAGAACATGAAACGTTAACGGGCTGGCTATTTCAAGTTGACAAACCGGAAGTCTTCAGGGCCAGAAATAAACACCTTGGCATTGATTTTCTGAAGTTATTCTTTTTTGTTTGTCAGTTATCTGTGGATCTGTAAAAATACATATTATAGATTGTCAGATAATTTCATATTTCTGTATTTGAACTGTTTATAATTTTCAAGAAAAGGATAAACATAATACCGTGAGTCTGAAAATTGAGGACCAATTTAAAGGGCAATAACTTGATCATCTTTAAAACAATTTCAATGAAACTTTGTAGAAATGAAATTCAACCTAGGGTACGTTACATTTGTCAAAATGAAACTAATCAATTACTGTGTTCTATTAAAAAATTGAGTTTTTAAATTTTCAACCAAAAAATGAGGGAAACGCAAAACTTTGCAACTTCTGAAAAATCAACCATACTGATGTGAAATTCTGCGTTTTACCAAATTTTGTTAAGATTTTTAAAACTTGATATTTTTCACGGATGCATTAAATGGATTTTCTTACTTCATATTTACGAACTCGATGTCCCCCTAGTTGACATTTATTTGTTCAAAGTTTTGCTAAATTAGTACATTTATGACTGAGTTATTCCCCCTTTAAGACGGTCCTCTTATTTTAGACGGTCTGTGTGACGTCTGATTAATCGTACCGGCTAACCTATAAAAAAAGGAATCAAGACAGAATGTAGAATCTAGTTGCTTTTCAAAACATCCGAAGAAGTGTTGTAACTAAGAATATCAATGAGGAAAAACGTTGTTTATTTTTGTGAACTATGTACCATCGTTTTCAATACTCAAGGGAAAAAAGACCCTTCAGTTTCTGTACACGTCACATTTCTTACACCATAATACGATAAATTGTAATAACCAAATCTGCAGCAAACTGCTGACTGCAGGATTTATCCCATTAGACGGCTCATTTGGAGCAACAGGAAACCTGTGGAGTAATCACGCAGAACTAGTGCATCAATCCTATAAGCTGGGTCATAGTTAAGGATAAGGCAGAATATTTAGTTTTGTGAGCAGATCTTCTGGGAAAATAGAACTGGATTTCAAACCCCAAGGCGAACATTGGAACGCTTGATTAATTCAAACTAATACATAAGTACGCTTTATTCCCTGGACAACATGTGGGTGGACTCATTAACAGTAATGCCCAGAACAAAATGCTGATTTACAAAGGGTCTGACCGCGGAACACCTTTACGCTTCTGTCGAATTTAGACTTAAACGGCATTGCGTACAATACAAGATTACGCTCAGAACTTAGCTTTGCAATTAATTGGACTTTTCTTTATGACTTTACAGTACAGCATGATTAATTAATTACATAGTTGACCAAAGTGACTACAATGTTCATGATAAAAGGTAAAAAATATTCTTTCTTATTAATCTAGAAAAAACAAACAAAGAAATGCAATGTATTCCCGTGCCCAAGGTATAAAAAGACGTTAATGATCTATTAGTGGAGCTGCACTGTTTTCGCTTCCATCGAGAAAAGGTCATGACCTGTTTTCACTTTGGTAGTGTCTACGTTCTCTAACGTTAGAGTAACGTCTACGTTCTCTAATGCTCAGTGCTTCCAAGCGTGGCATTGAATCCCGGTTCCGGAAACTTTGGGGGAGGGAGGGGGGAGGGGGTAGTTGGTTTTTTTTTCCTCTCCTTCTCCTTACTGACCAACATTTTGCCCGCGGACCCCCAACCAGTACGAATAATAATTGGCAGGAGGAACAATTGGCAGGGGTCTGGGGGCCGGGATAAATACAATTTGCAATTGAAGAGCTAAGATTTGGCCTCTCTGATTCTAAAATAAATTTTTTAAATTACATTTACAGACCAAGGAAAATGTTGAAAATGTACTTTAACCAGGCATAAATTGGTAAAAGGAAAAGTAGGCCTATACTTAGTAGATAAAAGCTCCTCTTACTCTTGGGGACAAAACTAGAATTTGCATGCTTTATCACTACATAAGAAATTACAAAGCAACAAATTATAATTATGGGGAACATTGTTGGTCAGTCGGGAGGAGGAGAAGAAGAAAAAAACCCAACAACAACAACAAAAAACCCCATCAAGACGGGATTCGAACCCACACTCATGCACTTCAAGCGCAGACACGCTGACCATTCGGCTATCAGAACATCAAACGACATGAGGTAGATTAAGCTTGATATATACAGCACTGTTTTAGGAAAGGCAACAGCATAGATCAAGATGTTGACCTCTAGTTTTCTACTTCTACAACAAAGAAAGTGAGAAAGTCGGAAACATGGGGAATTTTTTTTTTTTTTTTTGGGGGGGGGGGGATATCAATGAGGCGGCGCGGGAGATGAGGTCTGAGGGAAACTATAAAAAAATGGCGGAAAATTGGAAGCACTGAAAGTTAGAGAACGTAGACAGCTTGTATACGTTCTCTAAAGTTAGAGAACGTAGACACTTCCTTTCACTTTAGCATACAAATCAAAGCTATTCTAGACATAAATGGGTCATTAAGAAGACGGATCAGTTGAACAAGTGGTTAGGCAAACGACGAATGAAAACAAGAAAAAGAAGGCAGAAGATTCTTAAAGGTAAACTCGCGCGTGCCCATGTTATGAGCAGGGCTGTTCAAATATACTGATAATATTTAGAAAAAGGAGTTGGGCATTCTGTCAGTGCTCAGTGTGTCTATATAATATCCTCATCCCTCTTCTCTACTCCATTCCAACCCAGTACGTTGTAGGGTGATATCCCAACCTCCCCTGTTTCATGTTTTTATGGTGAAGTGTTAAAAAGTGGGACCGGGGTAGGGCACCGACACAAGTATCAATAAGAGAGATAGCACTCTTATAATATGTCTGATAATTATGACTGGGTAACGCGAACTGCAAAAGAATATCTGCCAGTAAACATTTCTATTAGAAGCAACAGCAGCAATGTTAAACACAAGTAACAACATTATCAAAGTCAAAACTTAATTAGATTTAAGTTGAACTATGAACACAAGACTTGTACTGAAACAAGAGAACATCGACTTTTGTACGTTATACATACCATCTGAAGAATTCATTACTGGCTTGATGAAGAGAAATGCCAGGCACAAGGTGAAGAACCCAAGAGCGTCTAAATTCATTTTTGTTTAATTTAGAGAAGGGCACTTTGTTGATTACGATGAAGCCCTGAAAATCATGAAAAACTATGTTTATTTTTTGATGGCACATAAAATGTGCGCTTAGCTCAGGAACTATCCCTCGCCCGGAAAGAACAACATAAATAAATAAATAAATAAACACTAAATAAATAAATGATAAGTAGCTACTATACACAATTATGTTTTTACAGGTTTACCCAAGCAGGAAGCGTTTCTGATCTTCAAATACGTCTTATGCTGTAAAAATAAGTATTTCACTTTTCCCGATGCTACCGGGGTAATAGTATTCGGATATATTTTGGATTTTCTTAGATAACTGATGTTAACATCTAACCTGATGTCGTTTTCTATGCAGAAAAATCTGTTATCTCGAGTTGACCCACTGAAAGTATTCCTTTATTTTGTTGTTGTTGTTGTTGAAAATTTGATAGCAGAGCATGGAATATAACTTCGATAGGATATCGAAGATAAAATACCAAATGTTTGGTTCAACTCCTCTGCAGCAATTTTTTAGCTCTTGGTTTTGCTCACTTTCTGTACATCATAGAACATTATTATTTCTTACCAGAGTTGTTTGCTTTCATCAGAACCCGCCTTTGTTCTACGGCTTTCCACAATATACCCACGAGTAAAATGCCCAGAACGATGTAAAGTTAATGCAACTCGCAAAAATTATCTTTAGAACTTTTCTGCTTCTCCAAGTCACTTAGGTTTATATACTCCTGCGGTATGAATGGCGTGGCCAATATTTCATGTTCAGCTACTATTGAACGGATGGGGTTCGGTGTCGGGCACACATGGGGTAGGGGA